AGGCTGAGGACAGAGCGTGCCACCACCCCACCCTCCCCTCCTGGGTGGTCCCACACCTCCCCTGAACCTCAGTGCCCCCTGAACCCTCCTTCTCAGACCCCCCTGCTGGCTGCTGAGTGCCTACTATGTGTCAGGAACTCTCCACGGTGCTGTGAATCAGTCCTCCCAGCAGCCCTGCAAAGCAGCAGGTCCAGTGACTGTCTTCCCGAAACACGGATGAGAACTCAGGGGCCCACAGCCTCGCCTGTACCCCACCTGCCGGGGGCTTGTCCCCAGCTCTGCCTCTGCAGAGTCCAGGCAGCGCTGCCCTGCAGCCGGGGCCCCCAGGGGGCTCACCGGGGTCCAGGTGGGCAGCTCCTTCTGTAGCAGCTCCTTGAGCCCTGCCTGGCAGAGCCCGTGCTTGCCCCCAGAGAGCTCCGCGTATTTCCGGAAGGTGCTCACGACTGTAGCCAACGCCTGCTCCAGAGGTGTGGCCATCCTCACTGTGGGAGAACAAGGGCTGACTCACACCAGAGGCCCAGGGCACCTCTGCCCTCTGCGCTTCCCAGGGTCTGCTCCCAGTCCTGTCTTCATCTCCACTCGGCTTCCAGCCCCACAAGCTCCACCTCCTCTGAGCAGCCCTCTCCCTTAAGCTCTCCGGCTCCTTCTAATTTTCCCCCTACTGCCTCCACTGTTATTCTCCCGGCGGAGGTCTCGTTTCCCTAACATCACCGCACACTTCTCAGGGAGAGTGCCCTGTCCTCTGACTGCACCCCCATACTGGGGATCCCTGAGGACTCCCCCGTTCTCTGCCTTTGGGCATCCCTGACACCCAGGAAGGGCTCAGCCCCAACCACCCCATGAGATACACAGCCCCCTGGCCTAAAGGATCCCAGCTCCTTCTGTAGGAAACAGCCGGAGGGGAGGCGGGGCTGTTCCCAGGGGAGCCCAGGGCCTCCCTGCTCGGTCCCCCAGGGGACAGGAGTCTGCAGCACGGCTGCCAGTGCCAGGGCTCTCTCCCTGATTCCCCTCTGCTGGGCCCTGTGGAGTGAGAGGCGCGCATGGCTGGGGGCTGCGGTCCCTTTGTGACAGCCCTGTGGCGCAGGGTGTCTGGGTTCTCAGTAGAGGAAAGGGCCACAAACCCAGGGAATAGCAACCTCAGAGGTGCTCAGCGGCCCTTCGGGGCTCCTGCCAGCCGGGCTGATGCCACCGTGCTTGATCTTTCAGAAGCTGGGTGCCTGGAGACTGGAGGGATTCCTCTTCCCAGCGGCGTAGCCCTGGCCTGTCTCAGGCTTCAGCAGGAAGAGGGGGGCTGGGGGACAACATAGAAAGGGAGCCAACACCAGTGCTTTTAGCCCGCGGCCCCCACCCCTGCAGACCTCAGCTCTGCACACCCCTGAGTGTACAAAGAACCCCTGAGCCCACCATATCTGACTGCCCTCACCTCTCTGGTCCCTGCTGTGCTCATCACTCTACCCCCAGACCCAGACCTGGGCCAGGAGACAGACCCCGAACTGCCCAACACCCAATCCAGGGCAGGACCCAAGCAGCTGGCACTCACCACTGGTGTCGGCGTTTCAGCTGTAGGAGGCAAGAGACAGGACATCCCTATTTGTACTCTCCCATGGAAGGAAGGAAGCAATTATGGGGGCCCAAGTAGGTCAAGCTAAGGATGCCCCCAGGGGCTCCCCTGCCTCCTTCCCTGGCGGCCCTTATTACCAGCCCCACTACCCCCCCATCCATGCACACATCAAAGGCCAAGTCTGAGCCACAGACACTACCCCCTCATTGCCTGCCCCCAGAGTTGGGGACCGGGCGCAGCACCCCACCCCTGATCTTCCAGCGCCCGTTGGAGGAGATAGGCTAACCCCTCACATCTGTCCCCACCTCTTCACTCTGAACAAGCACCCTAGAAGCATGCAAAGTGGGGGCACACTTAGCCTCACCCCTAGGGAACCCCTGTGCCAAAGAGGATCTTGGAGACATCTGCTTAGCACCCCCTATTTACAAGTGAGGACACTGAGGTATGAGACACCCTCCCTGGCTGGCCTCTGGATCAGTGTCCTTGGTCACTTTCAGCTGTGAACGGCTCTCCCCCGTGTGAGACCTTCTTCAGCGGGCCTGGAGGAAGAGGAAGGCAAGTTGCCACCAGAGCCCTTCCACGGTCATGCTGACTCCTCTGCGGCCCCCACGGCCCCCAAGTGCTGCGAGTGACCTCAGACCCTTCACGGCCCCCTGTGCGTACAGCCTGAGGTCTGTGTCCTGCCCTCCGTTCCGGGAGGGTCCGATGGGGTGGGGCTGGGTTTCCTCTGGCTCTAGCTGGAGTGTGGAGCCCTTTGGGATCCCAGCATCATGGGGGCTGCCCCTGTGTCTCCTCTCCTCAACAAACGCTGGGCTTCAGGCTCTGTCTTCCTCACTCCACAGACTGTGAAACCAAAGGTCCTTTTGGCTTAGTGGGGCCAGTGCTCTCAGGGCATGAGGGGCCCTGGCGTCCTGCTCACCTCTGGGACTCAGCGTTCTCTTACTGCCCTGTGAGCTCTTCATTGCTTTGAAACATGTTATTTTTTAATTCTATCCAGCATTTTTTGTTATTTTTAGCTGGAGCAGGCACAAAGCACCATATTATCAGACGTGGAAATCCCTCCACATCACTTCTCTGTGCCCTCATGCCTCATGCCTCTGTGCCCTCATGCCTCATGCCCCAGCCTGAGAGACCCCTCCCTGTTTCACAGCACGAGAGCCCAACACCCAGAGGAGGGCGGGAAGGGGGAGAGGAGAGCAGCACCCAGGCCTCCAAAGAAGCCCTATTGTTTGTGGAGGCAGCCCCAGATCTCATGACACCTTGACCTCAGCCAGGGCGCCCAGCATCCAGGCCCAGCCTGGGCATCATCTCCTTGAGGACTCAGCCCCTGCAGGTGAAGGGAACAAGCAGGGGAGGGAAGGGAGAGCTGTGATTAGCCCTGTTTCATAGGCAAGGTTATGAGGAGCAGGGGGGACAGAAGTGGGGACCAGCAGCTAATCCAATTCCAGGCCACTCACTGACTCCAGCCTGTGATACCCCAGCCTTGCCGGCAGAGCTGAAGCAGGGTCACCCCACCCCTCTGGGCCTCACGTCCCTATCTGTTGCGGATCAAGGGTAATAATGGTGGCTACTTCACGGGATTCCTTCGGGGCTTACGTCAGTCCGTGTGTACAAAACGCACACACAGCGCCTGCTCATAGTCAGGGCACAGATGTTAACTGAGAGGTAGGTAACTTGCCTGAGGTCACATACCTAACAAGTGGCAGGCCTAAGAGCCACTCATTATTCATGTAACTATTTAAGTCACCTGTCTGAGGCACCGTGGGTGTGCTCAGAAACAAGACAGATTCGTCCTGGCTCTGTGGCGATGACAACCAAATGGGGGACACAGGTGACAACAAACAAACGTAGGCCAGGTTGGTGGTATCCGTGCCAAGGGAAAGGGGGGTGGCGGGCTGGCACCGAGTGCGGGGTCCTCAGCCCGCGGCCCCTTTCCCCGAGTGAGGCTGCGCCTGTTTGCCCGCTGCGG